GATGAAGAAGAAAATGAAGAATCGTCCGATGAATCAACAGATGATGAAGAAAGTGATGAATTGAATGATTATTTTGATGATGATTATGATTATAATTATCCGGAGATGTTTAGTCACTTGTCAATTAAATGAGATGTGCTCAATACGATTGTTATTGATTAATCAATATTAATCAATGATTATATTGTGATTCTAATTATGGTATATACATTATTTAATATATGTGATCATGTTCAAAATTCACTAGTTTGAGAACAATTTGTGTGTACGGCAACAATAATTGCAGTGTTAAGAAGTTAAATTATTTAAAACAATTAATTTTAGTTTAATATCACGAATAAACAAATTCGTACTACGTTAAATTTTTAATCTTACTTTTTCAGACATACAGATTTTTTTCTGATAAATATAATTTGTATTTTAAGTTAAATTTTTGACATTAAAATTGTAATACATTATATAACTTAATCTATCATTAACCTTTGCACTCGCATTATGATTATTTTCTTTTAACACAACAATTAAGTGTAGATTCACAATAATTAGTTTAAAATTTCCATTGAATTTTAAATGTAAATATTAATATAATATTACGGGAAATGAACATGTACCTACAGAACAGTTTCACATTTTGTATGATGTAGTATTGTAATAATACTATTGTCTTTTAAAACCAGTTCTAGTTTAACGTGGCTATATTTTTTATGTTTATAATAAAACAATTATTGTAATAATTATCAACTATGGTAAGCATTAAATACAGTTGTTCTTTAAAACAAGAGTGATTTACATATTATTTTGAAAGTAAAATAAATTATCTATTTCAAAAATTATTTAATATTTATTAATTAACAATTAATTGATACCAGGGTGAATTGTTTCACTACACCGACAAGGCTGGTGCGGAGGGCATAATGCAAACCGGGCTCATACGCCCTAGTGCTAGATCGGGCAGATTTCCGGCCGGCGTGTATCTAAATGTTTTGCATCCCACGTTATACACTAACATCGAAATATTGCTAAACAATTATGGTAAACATGTCGCCGATCGATATTTGTTTCGGTCAGATTATGTTGTATTCGTCGAAGTAGACACATTGGACCTTGATTATCTTCGTAAATTAAACTTGAATGATCGCAATTTATATTTCAATCAACATGACATTATTGTGGAGGCGTATAAAGTGGTATCTAAACGCTACTGCAATAGTAATATTTACTGCTTGTATTGAGTATGTTTAGCAATATACACCTATGTACCTATCGGTCACATTTTTACATTGTTTGCCAATACATGTAAAACTTTGATTTATTAAAACTATGCCATTTTGATAATGATTTAATCTTATATATTTAAAGTCTATTAGTATTTCAAATTGTTTTTAATTTAAAACACAATTAATTTAAACAAACTTTTATTTTATTAAATTATTTTGCAGTCGTATTTAATTTTAAATCAAAATTAGTTTTATTCAATTTATTTAAATGAATACAATATTTAAATGAATGATATTTTTCAACTTAAGTGAGAGAATGTGTGTATGTGTTTAAGCTTATATAGGGATTAATAGTGCACACAAAGTTAACTAGTATATTTGTGTGCATTTATATGATATGTAGTGTATTGTGAATAAACATAATTATAGTGTGTATTAAAGTGTACAGTATATTGTGTGTTAATTATTATTATTATATAAAGAAATTATATTAAGAAATTTGTTTCATAAAATATTTTGAAATTTGAAATTATTAAACTAAATTTTAACTTATTTTTTTTCAATACTAAAAACAGGCTTTGATTATTTTTCACATTTTAACAATTTTCATTTAAATGTTATTCCATTATAATACTAATTTACAGTTTTTATTGTTTTAATTTATAGTAAACAATATATTCATGAATGAGATAAATTAGAGACAAAGTAATTTTACTATGACGTGGTTATTAGACTGTAGGCCTGTCAGGCCTAAAATCTCTATCTAGAATATATTAAAATGAATTGATTATATTGTTGTGTAATTATTTCTACTATAATTCACTTTAACCATTTATTAATAGACCAATATTTGTTGGAATTGCGTTTAAATAATGCTAGACTTAAGAGAAATGAAACAACAATAATTGTAATATTTATCAAATAACCATAGTAAACATCTGGGTGTTGATATGTCCAACCACGGGCCATTATATTACGGATGGATTGAATGGGATAGGTCACCGGATTTATGTAGTTTATAAACCTATACATATGAGGAATGGCCTCAAGTGGCCAAAAAATACCAGATATGAATAGCAGGGGAAATATAAGTCCCATTACGCAAACCTTTAAAATATGTAATAATTAAAAATAGACTATGTTTAATATTTTAACATTAAAGTTACGATCAGTAGTAATAAACATACTATAACTGAAAAGGGATCGCCGAAAATGACCGCGAGTAATAAACCGATGAAAGTGCCCGCCATATTTTCCATGAATAAAAACAAGAATATTTCCCAATAACTTCCCGATTGTTGAACGGTAAACGCAACAAACACAACAATCATCGCACATATGACCTGAACTAAATTAATGATCACGTTGATGAATATATGGGCGCCCATATACTCGTACTCAGTGACACCGGCCGCAAACACCCGGTTCATTATGTTTGACGATTTGTCACTTATCATGATGAATGCCGATAGAATCAAACCCCAACTAAACTCTACAAATATCATCAATTGTGGTCCGACAAACATAAATGTGGCCAAAGGTTTGCATAAATCGCCGTTAAATACTTCGATAACTCTAATTGCGTTCATTTGGTCGTAAATATTCATATTGTTTACAATTTGGCCCAATTTTTTACTGAATATAACAAATCCCTCCAAAAGGTATCTAACCATCATGGCGTACATTTGTGGGTCTATTTTGAATTAACATATAATATTTAATTATTTAATTAAGTAAATAAATTTTTTTAATTAATTGTTGTGTAATTAAATTTCATATTTATTTTATAAATGTAAGTTACTTGAAATGTCTACATATAGATGTATAAGACTTTGCTCAACGACATCATCGCTGGCGTCAAACATTTCAGTCACTCGCATCTCAAAACTGTCGGAAAAGTTGTCTCGAAATTCAAGCGCCAAATAATTGTCACCATTTGTTACCGACTGAACGGCGCTATCAATCGACGGGTAATGAGTTAAACGCATATTTTGGGGATTTATTGAATCAATAATTAAATTGGATAATGATGTTTGATTAACATCAATTTGATTGCTATTATATACCCCAACCGGCATGTGTTTAATATCCTGGCCAAATATCAAGTGCAACGATGTCATAGATATAATGATCAGACAATAATATGCGCACACAAATAACGGTCGACTTTTAATTGCAATCCATTGCTTTATAAGCATTGCTTTCATTCGTTGCCAATCAACGAATAAATTATTTTTGTAGTAAATTTTTATTTCACTTGTTGTCAAAATTTTATTGTTTAAACCATTGTTTGTATTGTTATTGGATTTCAGATCTTGACTTAAAGCAACGTTGTTATCATTTAAGTGACACAACTGTAGGAACACGTCCTCCAGTGTCGGGCACTCGTATTCATCCATCAATTGTTGGGGATTTGATTGTCTCAATACAGCTCCGGATCTCATAAACGCCACGTTATGTGCACTCCGGGCCTCTTCTATATAATGGGTCGTTATTATCACTGTTTGGCCTAAAAGTAAACTTTATATTAAATTATGTATTTAACTTTTGCAAATCTCAAACCGTATTTCTCGCACATATCTTTCAAGTATTGCCATATCCTATGCCTGAGCAAAGAGTCCACACCAACAGTGGGCTCATCCAATATAACGAGTCTGGGTTTGTGTAACATTGTTATGGCGATCGACACCCGGCGCTGTTGTCCACCATTTAATTGACTAATTAGTCGAGAATTTTTCGGTAAATGCAATATTTCTCGTAAATTATTAACGCTTTCGTCAATTTCCTCGCGTGTCATGTGATATATCATTCCGTAATAATTAAGTATTTCTCCGATTGTGAAATAATCAAATAACGCCAACTCCTGAGGCATATACCCGACACCCGGTCCGGGAATACCCGAACCCACTGAACCAGGTTTATTTTCAAAAACCTTAATTTTGCCCGATGTTAATTTTAATTGTCCTAATATTACACGCATTAATGTGGTCTTTCCGGTTCCGTTTGGACCTGACATTGCAAATATTTTACCTGTAATTGAAATATAATATTTGAAATATATAATAATCTTATACAATATAAACATTATACTATATTTCTGTAAAATAATTAAATAATATCTTGCTTATCTTTCGGTATTTGCACCGTTAAATTATTAAGAATTACATTATTAATATTATAACCAAATACGGCATTTTGTATATTTACAGCCATGTGAAACTTGCAATATTTATCACGATTTAATTATATTAACAAAATATATTTAAATGTTCTGATTATGAAGAATTATGTTAAACTAATATAATGGCTATCGTCGATAAATTTGCATTATAATAATTATACAAAATTATCTTATATATTATTCAAAACATTATAACTTTTGAATATATAAGAAATCAACTTATTTTTAGTTAACAAATAATTGTACACAACCTTCACATTTTTATTTTTCAATATTTCAGATATATAAGTTTGTTTCAAAACTTTTGCGTGTCGGATTTTGATCACCATTTGGGAACAGCTGAAGTGACAATATTGTCACTTCACACA